ACAAACAGACAGACAGAGACAGAAAACAGACAGCAGAGAGAGAGGGAGAGAGAGAGAGAGAGAGAGAGAGACAGAGAGAGACAGAGAGAGAGAGAGGGAGAGAGAGAGAGAGAGAAAGAGAGAGAAAGTAACACAAAAGGTATATAAAAAAGCAGTACTCACACTGTGAAGTGGTATATCCAGGAGGCCCAGTACTTGGGACGTTCCAGGAAGTTATATATCCGGCTCTGCAGCCTCCTGTACCTCATGTCCCTCCGATGCTGTCTGTAGTTGAGCGGTTTGCCCAGCAGGGACACGCGAGGCTGCCGGAATCGAACCCCGGTGCCTCCCAGCATGGCCACGTCGTTCTCGATCTCGTCCTTCACGCTGCTGGCCCCGTCGCCGCTACCACCTCCACCACCACCACCACCATAACCGCTCCCTCCGCTCCCTCCCATTCCTCCTCCACCTCCACCCCCACCACCTCCGTAACGGTTTCTCGAGCGGTGAAATCTCTCCCCTTCCCCGTCCATGACCGCGAATTCGACTCGGAGTTTTTTGCGATCTCCGGTCCCGACTCGCCTCGATGACTGAGGAAAGTTACTCGTGGGAGTCCGAGAAGTAGAGAGGGCTGAACAGATGCCGGTACCGCTTTCCGGATCCGAGCTCTTCCTCGTGGAAGAAGAGTTATCCAGTTGTTGCGGAATCGATAAGTGCTGGTTGGCAGGCGCGGCAGCTGCAGCAGGTGCGGCGGCCGACGAGTCTGTTTGGTTCACTCGGAATCCGGTTAACCGGTGTCCGGATAACCGTCGGAGTCCTGTGATGAAGGAGACGCGAGGTTTGGGGTTGGGGGCCGGAGCTGGGACAACTGATGATGATGTTGTTGTTGCTGTTGTTGCTGTTGTAGTTTCTGCTGTAGACCCACCGTGCGATGATGATGATGATGATGATGCTTTTCTTACTGCTGCTGCTGCTGCTGCTGTAGTTGTATGATTTGTAGCAGATGCAGTTGTGTCGTTGTGAGGGTGGCTGTTTGCTGAAGCTGTTTTCGGGTTGTGGACAGCTGGTGTTGGGCTGTCGACTCCTACTGGCAGACTGGCAGACTTACACAGGCGCTCTCGCGAAAGGTCTGGGTTCGAAGACCCCACGTTAGAAAAACTGCAGAAGCGACTGGGTTGTTTTTGAGCCCCGATAGAAATTCTTCGTGGTGCGCCGAAATGTTGTTTGCTTTCGCTACCCCCGAAACAGTTGCTGTATCTCCTATTGTTGTTGTTGTTGTTGCTGTTGTTGTTGCTGTTGTTGCTGACGGTGCAGCTGCTGTTGCGGAGCGCGATGTCTTTCCGGTGAAGTCGGACAAATCTGGGCAGATGTCTGCCGCGGAAACTTCCGGTCCGCTCGCCGCTGTACTTCCGCCTGGGAGCACGTGACCCGGATGGACCAACCAGGGCGCTGCTTTCGTCATCCTCTCTGTCGTCATCAGCCTCGCTACCGTCTACGACAGCAGCTGTCGTGCCGGCACCATAACCACCACCACGACCACCTCCTTGTTGTTGCTGTAGTTGTTGTTGTTGTTGTTGGTGGTGGTGGTGGTGTTGTTTATGATGTTGTTGCAGTAGTAGTTGTTGTTGTTGTAGTTGTAGTTGACGTCCAATGTGGCTGCTGCTGTTGCCGTAGCTATCGTCGTCGTCGTCGTCCTCCTCCTCGTCGTTATCGTTATCTTCGTCGTTGCTGTCGTCGTCGTTGTTGTCGTTGTTGTTGTGGCGGTGTCGAGGGGAGAGGAGGAAAGACGAGGCGTCATCCGAGGGGTCATCTGAGGGGTGAAAGGTCAGGGGGTCACGGAGGTCACCCGAGGGGCGAAGGGTCAGGGGGTCACGGAGGTCACCCTGAGGGTGAAGGGTCAGGGGGTCGCAGATGTCACCCTGGGGGTGAAGGGTCAGGGGGTCACGGAGGTCACCCTGGGGGTGAAGGGTCAGCGAGTCTGAGTGAGGTAAGCAATAGGTTCTGACCGGGGACAGGCTATCATCTGATGAGTGTCCCGTCTGACAGCCGTCTTTGCTGTTGATGTTGTTGTTGTTGCCGCTGCTGCTGCTGCTGGCGTTGTCGCTTTTCCTGCTGCAGATATTATAGCTGTTGTTGCTGTTGTTGTTGTTATTGTTGTTGTTTATACGATGTTGCTGAACTGGATAGTCATTTGAACCACCGTACTCACCACTGTTTCCATCGGCTGTTCCAGTAATGTAGCAATTGCTTCTACTCCCTCCGCGGATATTTCGGCTGTTCCGCCGACCACCCTCGCTTGCTCCCGCACTTTCTCCACTCACCGAATCGTCAACAACGGAAAATAATTCAGAATTTTTGTCGAGATCTAAATCAACATCCCGCCATGGCGATAATACGTCTCTTTCCTTCTTTTCAGCATTACCACCACAAGGGCTGTCTCTCTCTATCGATCTCTCCGCCTCACTTACAACACTCGAATCCCGAGCTTCGTTGCTCGACTCGCGATTTCTAAACACTCGAGGAGATATTTCGCCAAAGTCAAAATTCAGTTTGGGTTGAGAATTATCCGGTTTCTTTCGAACACATTCACGATCACTTTTGTTGTCTTTGTTATTCGAGTCACAATAACCGGTTCTGTTTGTCGGGTAGTAATCGGTAAAGGCTGTATTTCGGCCCCTGTCTAATGTGTTTGTGTGTGACGGCTCGGGGCCATGGGATGAGAGCGATAAATCCGGTTCTGTAATCCGATTAGATCCGGATAGGGGCCAACCCGTAATAGCCTGAGTGGGGATGTTGGGGTATCTGGGGCCGATCAGGGGCGGTCTTTCCGTGACATGGAGGGGGCGGGGAGGAGGGGGGTGGTTAAGGGGGGGGGGCGGAAGGGGGTTCACAGGGGGCGGGAGGGAGGGATTATGAGAAGGAGGAGGGGGTGGAGGAGGAAGAGGGAGAGGGTTGAATAAGGAAGAGGTGAGGGTGGAAGGAGAGAAAAGTTGACGATCTGACGAGGAGGAAAATGAGGAGGGGGAGGAGGAGGAAGGGTTGAAAGGGGGTGAGAACGAACCTCGTGTGGGAACCTCGTTGTTTTTATCGATGCTATCATCTACACCAGTGTTATCACTCGCGTTATCGCCGTCATCACTGTTGCTGCTGTTGTTGTTGTTGTTGCTGTTGTTGTTATTGTTGTTGTTGTTGTTGTTGATGTGGTTGTTGCTGTCGTCTCCCCTGGCGGATGAAGGGTAGGAGAAAGAGGAGACAGGCTGTGTGAGAAGGGTCAGTGACTTCAGTATAGGCGAGGCGTCTGGAGAACCGAGGGTGAAACTGACCCGGGGGCGGCGGGGCGAGGGGGGGAAATCTGGGGACTCCTCGTCCTTTCTCTCACCGTTACGGCGGTTATGATGACGTAGTGATGACGCGCCTTCTGGGTCTGGTGGTGTAGTAGATAGCGTGCTCGCTATAGGGTGTGATCCTTTATCCGAAGACTTCAACGATGTTGACGGGGGAGGAAGAGGACAAGGAGGACAAGGAGGATGAGGCGGGGGAGGAGGACAATTAAAGCTGTTCTGATCCTGAGCCTGGTTACGTCGTTCTCGAGGATATCGGAGATGGACGCTAGGTGGCGCTGTGACAGCCTCGAGTGGACACAGATCCGCTTCCGCTCTGGGCGGGGACTCGTCTGCTCGGTTTGGCGGCGGTGGTGACTTAACCTGGGCAACTCCACGCAACTCCTGTGGAGGCACGTGTGGCGTCACGTGGTCAGCAGACGACAAAACACCAGGCCGCACCAACGGCACGCACTGACGGCGCGAAGGTGACGCAATCCGGGGAACAATTGGACAGGTTAACGACCCCTTCGAAGCGTCCGAAGATTCGTCGAGAATAGCGTCCGAAGATTCATCGGGAATTGCGTCCGAAGATTCGAGAATATCACCAGAAACTCCGCCCTCTCTCCCACTCACACGAGGTTCGGGGTTTCTTGAAAGGGAGGAAGATTTGGCCGGTTTTTCGTGAGGAGGAGTAGATCTATAATCCGAAGAAGAAATGTCGAGTTGGCGGTTTTTTCTGGACGACGAGCACGGTTGTCGTAGTGAAGGGTTGGTCAAAGTTGGCGGTGAATTTGTATCTGTCGTAGATACAGACGAACTGTTTTTGTCCAACGGGTGAGGAATAAATCCGGGTCTGTCCGCAGACGTGAATTCCTGACCGGTTGTAATTAATAGTCCAGAGGAACGAGACCTCCGATGATGTGGCTGTCCAGGTGGAGGTACAACTCCTGGCGCGTGCGAAGGGTGAGAAGGGTCAGAGGTTACTGATGCAGTGTGACCCCAACTACCACCGCTACAACCACCACAACTA